AAGGAATGACAAGAATACAGATAAAATGCATCATATTACGCGACAGCACACTTACAGTCTAGACAATCAGAACCATTGCCAGGAAACGTGATAAAGCGATTCATTGTTTTAAGACGACGAAACTAAAACTAAAGGGCGCCTGAAAACTATATAGTTAAAAACTACAAAGTTATAAATAGTTTACAGTGAAAACTGCTTTACTTAACATGGAGAATTCTTACCATGGTTACGCGTGACCATGGTAAGAATTCTCCATTTTATTACCTCAAGATAAAATAAGAATCTGAAACAAAAGGAATGACAAGAATACTGATAAAGTGCATCATTTTACGCAACAGCACTTTTAAAGTCTAGAGAGTCAGAACCATAGCTAGGAAACGTGATAAAGCGATTCATTGTGTTAAGACGACGAAACTACAACTAAAGGGCGCCGAAGAACTATAAAAACTGTAGGGTTGTTACGTAAGATCCCACATAGACTGTTCTATTTCAAGTTTGACTTGTCCATTTCACTATTATATTGTTGGCGGTTAGGGCGTAAATCAACTGCTGTAAAACTAAATCATTTCGGTTTGTGCTAAACTTTTTGTTGTCACGCTAAACCATTTGGGGTCACGCTAAACTATTTCACTTCACAGTGAGTAGATTGATGCGATACTAAGCCATTGCGGCTTACGATTGACTATTCGCATTTGCTGATAACTTAAGCCATTTCACACTACTCTGAACCGTTTGTGTCAAGTCACTGAACCAAAGTACAGTTAGCTGAACCGTTTGTCATTTCGACACTGAACCATTTCATTTAACACTTGGCCAATCGTGTTTTTCTTGAATCAGTTCAATAAGGATGGCCACGCCGTTTCTGAATTGTAAAAACCATCTTTTGTTTGAATATTTCATTTCACTAAAGGCGACTTGGCCATGTGTATTTTAAATAAATCTCTCGAGATAAGATAAACCGTTCCCCAAAAGACAATTAGACCATTTCTGTTTATTACAAACCATTTAATATGCCTGTATTTTTGGCGGTAACGGCCGCTCATAAAAAGCTCTCCCCTTTAACACCATAATAACTGTGGAGATGACAATGTTCAGGCTATGCCAGGGTTGAAAGAGATGTTTTGTTTTCTTTTGTTTTTCATGATCATTTTATATAGGAAAGTACTTCTCTTCAAAAACTTTAGTCTTTCAATGGCTGTTACTCCAGTAATTCTCATAATCACCCTGTTGACAAGCGGTATGGCTGCTGAAGACGAACATAGTGTTGACGGTAAGAAATCTTGAAGTTTACCAATTTATACTCTTGTGAAAGATGAATAAAAGTTGGGAAGTGGGAATGAGATTTATTCGCGAGAGAATATCAATAACTCCACGTTCACTCCCGTCTCTGAAAATTTTTATCGGTTATCGCGGAAAACTGCGTAATCACGTATAAATGTGACCTGCTTGCATAATGGCGAACTGCTCTGTTATTCCTGTCGAAGTGTAGTTGTTGCGAAGTGCCGAGTAACTGCTCTTCTAGTAATCACCCGCGGAGAGTACACACGATGAAGAGCGTTACTTCTGCGATGTTGCACTTCGTAGAGTTGATATCAAGGGAAAGATGAAAGTCGCGTCTTACGAAATCATTCAGCCACTGGCTTTAATATCAATTTTGACGATGAAATGCCTTTCATAAAACTAATTTGCTTAATTCAAGTAGTTCACCGACAGTCGTGAACCTTTTCGAGGGAAAACATTGTGCCTACTCAAAAACGTGAAATTTAAGCGATTAAAAAATACAAATTTTCATTTAGTTTCGAAATTTAAGAGTCGCCAAATAAACATGACTCAAAAATTGTTAAGTCATGACACCTCGTGGAATAAAAAGGCAAAGGTTGTTTTCGTAATGTGCATTTCTTCGACAATAATGACCAAGAAATGAACACAGAAAGTTAGCTAGGCTCGTGGCCTGCATCAGTGACCCGCCTTGCTTTAAGTGGAAGTATATTCTGATAACTAAACAGTTTTTGTATCCATAATTAGAAATAATGCATTCAATTACGATACTACCAGTGTTTTGGGACTCCAAATATGAACCCAATATTTAAAAGTTGTCCTTAAATATATTTAAAACTCGGCGATGTACATGTGCGCCGCCATTTTGAATGTCGATTAGCTTTTTGGCCGCTTACCTTGGACGTAACGAACTCGCCCCAATCCTTTCCTCCATTTCTCCATTCCTTTGCTATCAGGATGCAAACATTAAGAAACCAACCAAAAAGGCAGGCATTTCGACTTCAATGACGACAACAAGTCAGGTAGCTCTCTATAAAAGCAAGTTGCAATTCTCTCCAGGTTACAAACTTGCCGTTCAAAATGGAGGCGTCCATAAACGAACGTTTGATAAAGTTAAAGACGCCTTTCTGAAAACGCCTTTGGGGGTGTATTTTTATAAACACGTTTCAGTGGCGGAAATGAAAATTTCCAGGTTTCTGGGACCTACTTCAACTTTCAAAGGGTGGAACAATCAGTTGGAATCACATGCAACAATCAGCTGGATTGCGCAATTTGTTCAAATGTCCTTTTTTGTCTCAGTTTCAGGGATGTAACCTGCAACAAGTGCCAACGCAAGCAGCTTAGAGAAGCGCTCCTCTTCCCGCTTTGATTGTAGACGAGCAACATTCGCCAGAACCACCCTGTATGACTATCTCTATAGGTATAATTGTATTCCAAGAGGATGGGAATCATTTTTCAATAGCCGTAATGTTCAACGAGATCTACGCGAAATTTCAAATGCTCTTGCAGGCGATGTAGGACGGTATAGGATACAGCCTGAACTGGCCAGTATATTTAACGCTTTCGCTGTTACCCTCCGAGACGTAAAAGTTGTTATTTTAGGTCAGGATCCAACACCTCAGCCAAACCAAGCAACAGGCTTTGCCTTTAGTCTGGTGCGAGGTGTGGATCCGTATCAAGTTCCCGCTGTCTTTAACATGCTCGTGGAGTTGGGGTGGGAAGGATTCGACGTTGGTCTGTCAAACGGGGATTTAACGCCTTGGGTTCGCCAAGGAGTCTTACTTCTCAATGCAGCATTAACTGTCCGACAAAGATCCGCAGGGTCTCATCAACAAGTATGGGCCGTCTTCACGCAATTAGTGATTCAACAAATCTGCGCCAGTGCTCGACCAACGGCATTTCTTCTTTGGGGATCTCAAGCGAGGGGTGCCGAGTCCTATATTAGTGGAAATCATTACATCAAGTCCGGAGGGCACCCAAGCCAAAGGTCGACTTCATCACAGCCATTCTATGGAAGAAATTACTTCCGCTGTGCAAATCGGTTCCTGCGTCAGAATGGACGTAGTGAGGTTGATTGGCGGCTGCCTGAGAATCGGCACTCATCGGCGCCCGGATGGGCGAGGTGTTAAAAAAGGCTGCCGCCAGTTTTCCTCTATCTGGATTATCATAACTTTATATACCATATTACCAATGATAACAATATAATAATCGTTCAATAAATTTATACCAGCCTTTACGACGAGTAGTGAAGTTGTAGCGTTGTCTAATCTCAAAATATCGCATTTCATGTCTTTTCCTATAGCCCAGTATCAATCAAAAGGTTTCAAGAGTGGCTTGGCGGTATATTTATAAGAACTAAGTCTATGTATGAATGAAAGCATTGGTTTGAAAATGTCACAAAGTGGAAGCTGATACCTTGCAAAAATTCTAACGGAACATTCGTTGGTCATATCTTTGTACGATTCGCCACCCCCCCCCCCCTTTTTGTTTTGTTTTTTTTTTCAATTTAAGAGAAACTATATACTAGCATACAATTCAAAACGTTATCATCCCAAATGTAATTTTTGGGCCAATTTCATCCTCAGCCACGTAAAAAAAACCAACAGTGCTTTAGCGTGGTGTATACTCTTATTTATCGACAATGATATTTGTCATCACAGTGGTCAAAATTTGTTGCTGTACCCGGTGAGTTTATAATATTCAAGTCAAAATTTCGGAGTCATCCATGTTTGAGAGCTGAAATAAGCATTGCGT